TTCAAATTGAATCATTTCCACAGACACTGAAAATCCATCCGCCCGTGTATTACGCACGTATCGCAAAAGTTTATTTTCAAGTTCTGGAAATTTAGCTTTCTTTCCGCGGAAAGATTGTCGATTTTGTGACGTTTTTTCAAGGGCATCTTTCGTTAGTATCCATCTTCGCACATTTTTTTCGTCAACGTCGAATTTTCTCCCTGCTGCTCGATTTCCGTGTTCTTGTGCGTAACGCACCACTTGAAGTTTAAATTTAGACGTATAACCTGCTCTTACTCGACCCATGTTTCACTCAGAACTAACCAGGCAAGTCAAGTAAAGGCGAAAAGGTTATAACTCTCCTCCGCAATGCCTTTGTTCCGGGCGGTACCGTTATTTTCGCTAGTTGCGAACTTAGGAATGTTAAACGTTGCCAAATTTCGGAATAATTTCTACTCCTGAAATAATATTCCAAGGAAATTATTTTTTCTATAATTTCTGTCTGAAAATTGTGCTGCGGCCTATACATGCTTAAATACGGTATTTGGAGTTAACTTTCGAAAATAATTCTACCCTCCTTCCTACAATTCCTTTTTCGAAACAGACACTCGTTAACCTAAAAACTTCGACCCTAAAGTCAGAGTCCGAATTTAACTCCGAAATGTCATCCATAACCACACAGCGCAACAGTCAAAAGATCAGGATTAACATCAACAATAATCACCATAAAAAGCTTAAAAATAAATCAACAAATACATGTCACTGTGAACTTCCTTATAAATAAATCACGTGTGGGAAGTGGTCCCCTCGTGACTGTTGACAAGTATCTACCAATTTTAATCTTCTAGAGGAAGACAAGCATTCATTCAGGATAGCGGATGTTCTTAATAAAATATACTGCTGGTTGCTTTCAACCGACGAAGAGACCACCTGCGAACGGTGTCTGTCTATCTGTCTGCCTCTCTCTCTCTCGCTCAATCTCTGGGATTCCCCTGCGTGTTGGTTTTAGCGGTTCTTGTATTCCTCACTAGAGTGGGCGCAAAGCATGTCTCGACTAATTCGTAGCTAGGAGCTGAGGTCCCCCCCCCGTAGGGATACCGATTGCTTTGGGTTTCGTGGAAAGCACTGATATATCATAAATAATAATACATACTGTCACGTATTTGGAATGTGACTATAGACGGGGTTTGGATTGGCGAATTGGATTTACTCACCATTTGTATACGCCACTCGGAATTACAAGTAATTACACGGCCTATGAACTTTAGCGGCCGTCTTGCTTCATGACTTTTAATACAATTTCTGTGATGGTCATTATTCTGTCTTCTTCTGGCTCGGCCCCACTGAGCTGTGTCGTGAACTGCTGAAATATCGTTGCGACTACTGTGAACATGTTCTGAGACGAACCGTTTGCATTAGGAGCCTGAACTGACTTGACTCGGTACTTATTGGTTGTGCCCCAATAGAGAGGGAGCAGGCCTGTGCAACTGAAGGCGGCTGAGGCTGCGCTGTTGCTGTGTGTTGCTGCGTAGCGTAGCTGCGAAGGATTATCCTGGGGCGGTGTGGCTGAAGAGAACGCCTTCCCGTCGTAGTCTCTGGCGCTCTCTGCCTTGCCGTGCCTGCAGCCTCGATGGTTGTTGGACAGATGAAGTTCCTCTGCAGTTGCAGCATGTCGGTGTCGATACTGTACTGCCCTTTTCCGGGCATTCCTTGTGCAGGTGACAACCCTCGCACCACATATAATTGGGAGGTTGCTTGCAGTTATCGACCACAGCTGAACTACTAGTCCTCGTTACACGTATAACCCTAGCACGGATCGCACAGGAAACATCTCTTACATAATTGCGTGTTCTCTCGTTGCCGGGAAACGACGTATCCACAGAATTGTTAAACTGTAACCTGTTTACGCAACTGTTACTTGGCAATGGCTCTTTTGGATTGGATTTATTGACACCTTATACATTCGCACAGTTCGGGACTACAGGTAATACAGCGCTATTGCTGATCTACACACTTTACAGTTCCCATAGCCGTTGCTATGAAACTGACACGTGTTTCTTTTGAGATGCGGATTCGCGAACACCGACTTGGTACGGAGCAGGTTTTCCGGGTCAACTCAATCAACAAAGGTTTCCACGGATACGAACAAGCAACCAACTTTTTCCATGGAGACCGGAGACTATGTAAGTGGCCGTGCAGACAAGGATGAAGGAACACTCCCGTGTGGAGGAGGGGTCGAAAACCTCCATCGCAGCCCTGCGAGTCGTGGGAGGTGACGAAAAGGGAACTCAGTGCCTGGGGGTGTAACCGTGCCACCCTCTTCCTTGAAGATATAAATACGGTGACCTTGCCCTCCAGGTTGAGGGAATCTCGAATTTGAGACGGTATAAGAGTTCGGCGGGAATCGGACCTGAGAATGACTGCGCTGGGTAGGCCAGCAGAAATTGTAAACAACAGACCCATACTCTCGTCAGAGAGGATGTTACAGCAGGGCTTCTAAACCAAATATTCAGTTGAAAAAAAAAATCTGGTCGTGAGTCTCACGGGGCTTGTCGCCAGGCGTAAAGTGACACAGACTCGGAACGAAGCGTTCATATGACAGCAGCAGTAGAAAGAAGAGCAAAGAGTTCATTAGTGAGTCCTTCGTAGGAGAATTCAAAAGGCAGTTCAGTAGTTCAGTGTTCAGCTGTGGAGTGCTAACCAGCGGACAACGGAAGGTGAAGAAGAGACAGATTCGCAAATCAGAACCAAGTCAGTCACAGTGGAAGAGAAGACACTCGTAGTCCAGTAAGGAATGGGGCGTCTTAGGCAGCCATGGATTATGAGCTGTTATAACTGTTTATAACTAAGAGTGACTGTAATCAATAAATCCAATCATCCAACCCCGAACCCGTTATTATTCGTCACGGAACCCCGGACACGTGACAATATAGCTGAGATTATCTCCGTAGTATGTGAAATAAATGATAACCTCGAAGGTTTGTGCCATTACAATGTTGGAACTTCGACTGTATGAAGAATGTTTCATGCAGGACATGTAGGGCCGGTGACAACTACATGCCCAGGTACGTGATGGCCCTCAGATAAAGAATCAAATATAGATTTGGCACAATTTTCATTTATTTATTTTACTTTCCTCATAACAATTTCCTTAACGAAATCTGTCCCACTTTCAATGGCCCATGTTTTCCAGAATTAAATTACACCATGAGTATTAATTGAAGTTTCAAAGTTATTTGTGCGCAAAGAGCGCAGACTGCTGATGTAACACATGAATATATTTCATTTCTAGATAAGCAAAACTAGAGTACCTACGTATGCAAACCTTTGAAAACTGAATTACTTCTATGTGCTACATAACAATTCAGTTCGTACCTCACAGGAAACACATTACGTCACCGCTACAGAGCCCAACCGCTTAATGCTGTTTAGGGAAACAGTCGCTGTTTATTGTGAGAACCATACGGAACACACAGATACACCGTGAGGGCAGGTTAAAGCAGGCTTTAAAGGAATTAATTCAATTATTAATTCACTGAAGCCTGAGACTTTGATGTATCATAAATTTCACTGAAACAGTCATCAGCATCACTCTGGTGTAAGTTCTGAGGTATTCACAGCGGGAATTATTAACATTTCTTCGGAGTAATAGTCGGCCTCTATCCTCAGGACAGAAATATATACGTTAAGAAATAGATCTGGTTCTATGGGCAAGTTATGAAGAAATTGGGCATGGATCTCACGGGTGCAGGGGTAAAAAAAAGGAGCCCAGATCGAAATAGTGGGGAGTAAAGGACCAAAATTGTCCGTATTAAGTGGCACGCGGGTGGGAAATGGGACAGTGATAAATAAAAGACTCTTCGTTGGTGTCTCCACCTTATCGTGGTGAGGGTGTTTGAGTATGCCAAGGACCCTGAGAGCTATACCAGCGGTAGCGTAGCTACTGGCAGGGCCTCCCTTGCTGGACAGGTCAAAGGGTAGGCATCAGACGAAGAGACACACCAAAAACCAAAAACTGATGCCGGAAGCAGCGTCATCAGCAGCGACTTGAAGCACAGAACAAATGATGCTCGAGATGGTTCAAGTTCGTATAGCAACAGGCGTGACCAGAGTGGTTTGAACGGCTGTTGTACTGCGATGTGGAAAGCAATTGGAAAAACTACCATAGAGTCACTTTTCCTGGATAGTCTCTTTCCAAAAACAGAGATAGGAATTGTTTTGGAAGAGACTGAAGACCTGTCGTCTTGACAGATTACTGATAAAGAAGAAGAAATAAAAGAACTCTGCGGAGACCTTATAAGGGCACACTCGTTTTGAATTGTTAAAAGAAAAAAAAAAGGTAAAGCTATCTCTGTAACAGGCCGCGGAGGTCTGTGTGAGACGTCGAGGCTCCCACGTTTTCTAGACAGTCGACTCACAGATGGCGGTGAGGTGTCAGCCTTACGCGCCGGCCGCCCTTCACCCCCAGGAAGATTCCTGGTACTCACTGGGAATCAAACCCGTGACCTTCTGGCTTGTAGCATAGTGATCCATCGTCTATCACACACGCATACTTATCAAAACACTCAAAAAGCCAAGTTTCAGTGCACCAATACACATGTCAGTTATTATTATTGTATATTTTAGAATTTGGGAGCCATTTCAACTGTCAGGACTAACTGAGGTTGTGGGCCGTGCCATAGCTCAAGCGGTTAGTCGCTGGCTTCCCACCACGGCAGCCCGGGTTCGATCCCGGGGTCTCGTCAAGTGGGATTTGTGGTGGACAAAGTGGCGCTGGGGCAGGTTTTCTCCGAGTACTTCGGTTTCCCCTGCCAATCTTCATTCCACCAATTGCTCCACAATCACCCTCACCTATCATCTGGGGCTGGTAGAACAGGCCAGAAGTGACCGCAGTGCAAGGGACATAGTCCCACCCCACTAGCAATAACAAAAACTAAGGCCTTGGAAGCACAGACGTACAGCAGACTCCTGTTATACAACAGCTGCGATGTACAATGTTCGTATTATGGCCGACCGCTTACCTTACGCCAAATTCAGCAACAGCTCAATGCTATGAGATCATCACATACCTGTAACAAGAAACAGAAAAATCGTAACCGATTCTCAGCAAGTGAATGACAAGAGGCGTAAGTCTGATACGAACATATTTAACAGTTAAAGAATGTAGCAAATTAATTTCGAGGCAACACTAACCAATGAAAACTGCTGAATTCGGGGAACATTTGCGTCTATTCAGTTCAGAATCTTCTTTTTCCTGTCCGCTTCTAATAACACGATCAAATACAAAAAAGAAGTTCTGGGAAGACCTAATCTCCTTTCACTGCAATTCGTGTATTTAATACAAGTACAAAGGAAACTTCAGTACGTGTGCGTAATGAAGTCAATAAAACAATACAATTTGGGTGGCTGCAATGTTGGTGTTACTGATGGCAAGGATTTATGGAGTATGCTGTTCAGATGAAGACTGATATAGACATTCAAGCAATATTTACGTTCTACCTCAGGAATCTGAAAAGTTGTAATGTTAGTATTACTGATGAGGCTGATTTATGAAGTGCACTGTTTAAATGGCCTCAGGCGGCATGACATACGTACCAAGTTCCATTACGATCGGTTCAGGCATTTAAGTAATACCAAGGTTCTGGTTTCTAGACCGGAGCCGCTATTTCCTTGAAATAGCTCCTCAGTTATCATCACGAGGCTGAGTGGACCCCGTTCCAGACGTTCCCAGAAAATCTGGTAGCGGCGGGAATCGAACCCCTCATCTGGATCTGTAGCCAGGAACTCTGACCACTAGACCACAGAGGATAATTGACTGTAATTGTAAAGAAGTGGCAGTAAACTCAATCATCAAATCCAGAACCCACTGTTATTCGTTCAGCAAAGCCCGCATACGCAATATGTATTAACAGCAAGGATGGCTGGATTTGTGTACATATGCTGTTAAGGCTGACGGATGTCTTCGATGTTGACACTCGAAGTGTACGGTTAGAACATTAATAACGGGAGATAAGATGACGAGAATACCTAAAGCAGGTGCAATGGTTATTAGAGCCTTCGCCGTTACAGGAACATCACAAGTTTTGTTTTGCTTTTTAATGCCTCGCTACTGCACCTAGACTGCCGTTGTAGCGGAAGCTACTAGAAACGGGCCATAATCTGCTGTACTGAGCCTGGACTGACAGAGGTCCTGTATATATTTATTAACATGTAAAATGTAAATATCCTTTACATTATGACAAATGACTGCAGACAATGACTCTGACAAAAGACAGACCCGTCCTCTCGACAGAGAGGGCGCCCCACAATAACAAGACCTAACTGTCAAACATTAACAAATATTTGGTCATGAGACCCAGACTGGGCTCGACATCAAGAATGACTGACTGACTGGAAGTTAGAGTTCAGATGGAGGAGTCGATTAGTGGAGTGTGGTCAAGAGGGTTCAGTTGAAGAGTGATTTGTGAAACGTTGTAATGAGTTGTATAAAGGTCCAATGAATTCGATCGCCAAATCCAAAATCCGTTTTATGGGTCACGCAGATCCCGGACACATGATACAGGTATTCATATGACTACTCTGGTTTTCTGGAGGAAAACAGGATGAAAATATCTCTCCATTGCATAAATGAGTAGTCGGGACGGCTCAATCGGTATAGTAACGGGCTATGGGCTAGATGGTCGGACTTCAATTCCTGGGAGAGGTAAAATGTTCCTTTACTCCACAGTGTCCAGGCCGACTCTAGGGCCACCCAGCCTCCTACATAATGGGTACCATGTGTTTCTTCCTCGGGGATAAAGCGACAGGAGAGTGAAGCTGACCACTGACATCCATCTAGAGCCGAGATCAAGAATGGTGGAGATGTACCTGCACAACCCCCTCCCCCATGTCTTCATGGCTCAGTGCTTAATTAATAAGGCACAGGGACTTTACTTAGCCTTTGCTGCACAAATACTGGTGGGAAAGCCAGAAGGAAAGAGCCCACTAGAAAGGTCAAGGCTAAGGCGGGTGGATAATATTAAAATGATTCTTAGATAGATAGGATGGGGTGGTATGGGCTGGATCGATTTGCCTCAGGATAGGGACCAGTGGAGGGATCTTGTGAACACAGTCACGAACCTTCCGGTTCTAGAGAATGCTGGGAAGTTCCTTAGCAGCTGCACAACTGGCAGCTTCTCAAGAAGAGCTCAGCTCCATGGTGTTAGTTTACTACACAAATGTGACGCGCGGACCGTTGTTTGAGCGTTGGTTTCCAGCTACTTTCGAAGAAGCGCATTGAAGGTGAAGACTGGATCTCTCTGTGGAGAGAGTTGCGTTGTTGTTGCTGTGACAGCAACCACTGCCATGCCATTTATAACAAGAAAACGGTCTGAACACGATTCGAAATCTAGGACTCACACAACTGGAATGGGGAACAATGCAGTCTTCAATACCGAGAGCGAGGCCAAACGAGGCTGTTAGGTACACACCCGAGCGAGTGGCTGCACACGGATTTGTTCCCACGGCCTCACGCGCCGGCGCAGAATCGGGCTCTCACTGACATACATCGCACACCCAACTCAGAACAGATGGACCGGCCCTGGACACGAGAAACCTTCACTCAGCTGGTCTGCATTCATTTCGGTTCGTTTCATAACAAAGTTCTACACAACAACATTAATCTCGTTTTGAACATATTTTCGAATCATGCAGATTCTTAAACGCTTGAGTTAAAAATAACAAACCAACAACCCGGAGATGAATCTTTGAGAAGCTAACTTCCGTTTTATACCATACGGACCACATAGAGAACAAAAAATTAGACGAGGGAAGCACAGACAGCAAGGTGATATCATAAGCCTCCTAACAATAATTAGGATGGAAAGCGATCTCATACGCCTAAAAAAATTAGGGGAATACACGGACAGACGGACACACAGACAGCATGGTGATCACATAAGTCTTTTTCTCTTTCAAAATAAACAAGGCGCGTTAAAAGGGTAACGTTATCCTACGTTTAATTACGCACCAAGTCTTCAAGACGTACGTGGAAGTTGAGATACAGTTCCGCCGTTCTTATCCTCGGCACTTGCTAGAGGTGCGTGTTAAGCTTCAAACTCCGGCCGCCCTGCCCTCGGTACCCATTATATAATAAGAAGCTAGGTTACAAAGCTCTGCGTCATGCTTATTTAAGGACGCTCACTAATTCTGAGGCATAACACGGCATGTTGAATTGGAAAACACGAAAATATGAGAGGTCGTGCCCTAGCTTCAGGCACTATTCCAACATTTACTTCAGAGGACTGAGAAAAACAACGAAGAACTAGTCTATATAGCCGATTTCTTGGCCGAGGTTTGAACCTGGGACGCCTCAAATAGGAAATATAAGTGATATTCATGTGACCGGGTTTTTCGGGGTAAATTATTTTGATATCAAATTCGTGAATTCTCAAATAAGGACACCGATGGGTCCGCGCTCTAAATCGACGATTTCTCTCGTCCCTGCCTTATTTACCAATCAATAAATCCTCAATCAATATTCCAAATATTAGCAATATACATAATGGTTCTAAAGTATTGTAGGGGTTTCCGTTTATAGGCCATGAAAACCCCGACAATATTTTGGAATCACCCTGTACATTTCCGTGTATGTTGAAGTGTTGCGTTTGTTATTTCAACCACAATCGCAATTCCCACATGTTTGAGAAGAGGGTGCTGAGGAGAATATTTGAACCCAAGACGGGTGAGGTGACAGGATGCTGAATGAAACTGCATGATGAGGAGCTTCATAACGTGTACTCCTAACATAATTAGAATCATCAAGCCAAGGAAGATCAGATGGGACGGCACGGGCCACGGGATGAGAAACACTGCTGTAGCTCGTTACAAGTGGTCACTAAACCAAAGAGTCTCTCCCCCGTGGGGATTCGCGGGGCGGTGTGTCTGGGTACCCATGATGTAGCTCACACACGATTGGTGAGTGCCCTAGCCGACAGTTCTAGTACAGAACACTACAATGAGTTCAATTGGGCAGATTAGCCAATTGGCTAGTCAGCCAGTTGCTTAGTTAGTCGACTAGTTAATCATGTAGATGGTTAATCAGCAAATTAGTTGGCTGGTTAATCAGCAAATTATTTGGCTGGTTAGACAACTGATCAGTCAGGTAGTTGGTTAGTTAATCTTCATGTCAGTCTGTCGGTTCATCAGCTGGTTAGTTTGGATAGGCTGTTTGCTGGTTAGTTAGTCACTTGGTTAGTACACTAGTTAATCAGGTATTTGGTTAGTTCGTCAATTGGTCAGGCAGTTGTCTGGTCAAGTGGGATTTGTGGTGGACAAAGTGGCGCTGGGGCAGGTTTTCTCCGAGTACTTCGGTTTCATCCCGCCAATTGCTTCACAATCGCCCTCACCTATCATCTGGGGCTGGTACAATAGGCCAGAAGTCGCCGCAGTACAAGGGACGTAGTCCCACCCCACTAGCAATAAAAAAAAATTAGGTATGCTGTTGGTTGGTTAGTGAGTCACCTCATTAGTCAAATAATCAGGCAATTAGTTGGTCAGCTCGTCATGTGGTGAGGTAGTTGGCTAATCAGCAAGTTAATCGGTTGGTTTGTCATGTAACTGGTTAGTCACTCCGTCAGTCAGCTGGTTAGTTGCTCATCCGCGGAGTAAAAATTATGAAGCACTCACCACACACCGCAGCGGAAACTTATCTGGACCTAACGGAGATGAAACGGAAAAGAATAAAGAAAGAAGCGAACATAAAAAAAGGCCAAGAAGAAGGGAAGGAAATAAACTAACAAGCTGATAAGGCAGGCCAGCATTCCGCCGTTCTCTGTGTTGAAACACAGCCAGGCTACAAAACGCACGGATTCTAGCAGAGGGCGCAGACAGGCCCGAACTGGATGTTCTGCAGGTGGCACGTTCGCCTCCATCCATTGTTAACAAAAACTAATATTAAGTTTTTAATGTTTTTATCTGAGAAGACTTTGTTTTTTTATGTGGGTGAACACCTTGGACTGATACACATGTCAGAAGTCTGTAAGCTAACATAATGGACCCCCGTCGTAAAGAGAATGCCACAGACGGATAT